CCCCATCCAACCTGCAGATTCATGAGCCGCCCCACACCCACACTGGGGATGTTCACAAGTGTGCTCACCAGCAACTCAGGTAGATTTGCACAAATGAGACCTCGACCTTGATGCTCAGAACTTGACCTTCTCGCCCCATTCCGTGTTTCAGAGTCCCAGCCCAAGACTATGGTTTTCTTTGGAGAGCGCCAACGTGCCTGAATTCACCTACCCCAGAGCCTTCAATAGTGTCTTCCTTGTGGCCAGAGAGAAGTCTAGATCTCTGAGAACCAAAACCCACGAAGTTGTGCGGGAGGCGGGGGATTGTGGGAATGGTCCTGGAAAACTCTCAAGGGAGATGATGCTGCAGAGTTGACATTTACATTAAAATTCAGATTTCTATTCCTCCTAAAACCATCTTTTTAAGAGGTTTCTGATCCATAGAAAAGAGACTTGGACGGCTAGAGGAAAAAACGAGTGCTTCTGATTGAAAAGGGGAACGAGCTGGTTCTAGGTGACAACCTTTCCCAGGGAGCCGCTCTGTGACAGCTATTGTGAAGTATTTTCTGACCCATTTTCATGACTGTGAACAGAAGCTTCCCCACAGTTCTGCCCATTCATGGGTCTAGAGAGCAGGAATTGCAGAAGCACGTGGCTTTAGAGAAATGGAAGCAGTGCATTCTAATGCTTGTCCTTTTAGCATAAATGCATGGTGAGTGGCTGCATGAGGTTCATCTTTTTAGTGACATCAAAGCCAAGGGCAGAGAAAATGCACTATTAAAGCAAAAAAGGCCAAAAGGTATAGGTGCACAATTTTAATACTGGGAGAAAGAACAATTTTCTTTTTCTTTTTTTTTCTGAAGTGAAAAAATGAAAGACTTTCTGTTCTCGATAAGAGTCCTAGAAGTCCCTCTTTGCGAAGAGATAGTCGCTCTCTAACCGAGCTGGACTCGCGCTTAATTCAGAAGTTCTGTGTGTTGGGGCCTGACCATCCTCTGGTCTATCGGGCAGTGTGTGTGGTGAGAAGAAGGGTCTGGTGGCAGCAGCTCCAGATGCAGACCCAGGACCGGGGTCTGAATTCCTGGTCCTCCACTTTCGTGTGGCCCTGGGCAAGTTGCTGGTATTCTTAGCCTCGGTCTCCACGTCTGTGAAACGGGAGAGCAATAGCTGCTTTGCAGAGACACTGTGGGACGTGTGTCAAAGCACAGGATAGAGGCTGAGGAAGCGTTGGTCTCCCTCCCATCTTCCTCGTTTCTTTTCTCCCCCATCGCTTTCTTCCTTCCTTCACTTTTTGGAGCTCTGTTTCCAGAGGGTGAGTGGGTGGTGGGAGGAGAAGTGGGGATTATTTGAAGATCTGGGGTAACTGGAGAGCTTGAGGGTTTTCAGACCCCATTGAACAACGTTTCTGAGTGTGGTCTGAGGACACCCGTCAGAGGCACCTGAGGAGCTTACGTCAAGTGTAGGGTTCTGAAAACTGTGACAGACCTGCCCAGTCAGAAGCTCTGGGGATGGACACTGGGACTCTGTATTTTAACAAGCTCCAGGTGTACCAGAGAAAGACGAGGGCCTCCAAACGGCCATTGCCCTTCTTTCTTCTGACTGAGTCCTGCTTTGCTCAGGTGTCCACCCCTCCCTGGCAAAAACTCAGGGGCAAATCCAGATGAGTCTAAAGGGGTCCAGAAGCCCCTGATCCCCCTGCAAGAGGTGGGTCTAGTGGAGGGCAGGGGGCCCAGTCCTGACCAGGGAGACGTGCGAGGACAGATGCTGGGGGGCTTCTATTCTTTGAAAAATTCCTCTCTTCTCCACTAGATGCTGTTGTGTCTGTGTGTGTGGTGCCTGAAACTGGGGTGGCCATCCTGCAACCCAGGGACCAGCCAAGGGCAAAGTTGAAAGTGGCCGCATTGATATTTCAGGTGGATTGGTTTGTGTTTTTTTTGGCAATTTTTAAAATCAAGATATAATTCATATAACATAAAATTCACTCTTTTAATGTATACAATTCAGTGATTTTTTTTTAGTATGTTCACAATGTTGGGCAATCATCACCACTAATTCCAGAACATTTCTATCACTCTGAAAAGAAACCCAGACCTATTACCAGTCCCTCTCAATTCACCCTTTCCCCAGCTCTTGGTAATGGCTGGTGTACTTTCTGTTTCTATGGATTTCCCTATTCTGGATATTCCATATTAAAAGAATCATTCACTATGTGGTCTTTTGTGTCTGACTCCTTTCCCTTAGCATAATGTTTTAAGGTTCATCCACATTGTAGCAGGTGTCAGTATTGCATTCCTTTTCGTGGGTGAATAATATTCCACTGTATGGACCTACCACATTTTTTATCCATTCATAAATTGACGGACATTCAGGGTTGTTTCCACTTTTTGGCTACTGTGAATAATGCTGCCATGAACATCCATGTACACGTTTTTGTGAGGATATATGCTTTCAGTTCTCTTGGGTTTATATACCAGGTGGTTCTTATATGTCCTAGAGTTTGATCAGTGTGACAGAGTATTCAGAGGTAGACTCTGGAGTTCGACCATCTGGGCGCAATTCCTGACTCTAGCACTTGCTAGTTGGGGGACACTGGGCAGGTGCCAGGATGCCCCTGTGCCTTGATCCTTCTGGCAGATGGTGATGGTAACTATGTTGTCTCCACAGGGCTGAGGTGAGGCTTAAATGAGCCAGTCCCTTCCTACGCCTTAGAACTCTATGCGGCACATAATTAGCGCCCAGGAGGTGTTAGCTGTTGTTTTTAATGTCACACCCACACGCCAGAAGGGACTCCTTGCAGACCCTCCTGCTAAATTTATTCTTATAGAAATCCCTCTTTGAAAACACCAGCACCCCCTCTGCCGGCCCCTGTAATGACCCAGCCGAGTGCACAATGGTCAAACCAGTAAAAATAAGACTGGTCAACTAAGAGCGGCCAGTAGCACTGCCTTCCCACTGCCTTTACTCCTTTATGTGGGATAATTATTGAAAACACAAACTTTGTCTTTCTATAAAAAACACAAGCCCAGTCGAATTCACTGTTTCTTGGCTAAATTTATTGCAAGGTGTTGCTTCTTCTTTGGGTCCTAACCTCCTGTTGGAACGTGCATTTCCCTGGGCTCCTTGCTCCATCCCTCGACATGTCTTTGTAGCTTCTCTTGTGGAAAGGTCAGCATTTGAAAGTCAGAGGAGCGATGATATGGTTCTCCCCACCCACCTCAATGCCAACCAGAGCGAGGGCCGACCTGCCTTTAATTCCAGGCCTTCGTTACGGCTTCAAGTGAGAAATATGAGACAAGATATGGCCTTGGGAGAGGGTTGCGGGCCTCCATTTCGAGCATTCCCCGAATGTCGTAATTAATGTGTTATAATTAATAACTAGCGCTGCCTAGCCTCAGCTGAAATTCACATCCTGGTCCCAGGGGGCACATGCATCTTGGCAGAGCTACAGTCCCGGGGCCGCAGGTCAAGCCCCTCCGGCGTTACGGGCGCCTCCTTGCCAGGAACCCTGAGGCAGACAGAGGATTTGATTTAGCCACACTGGAGGGCTGTACCTGAGAGGCCTCCGATCCCTAAGTGACCTCTGCAAACACCCTGCTCTTACAGACTTGATGGCACCCGACAAAAGGACCCCAAATCTCATTTCCCAGCTCTAGGTCCACGTCTGAAGTTTCTACTGGCATTGTAGGGTCACAGCTAAGGAGCCAGACCCTGAAATCGAACAATGTAAATGCCGATCCTGCCTCCATTGCTTTTAGCTGTGTGATCTAGGGCAAATCCCCTCACCTCTCTGAGCCTTAGTGATCTCATCTGTGAAAGAGAATAGAGAGGCCAGCCCTGTGGCATAGTGGTTAAGTTTCACACGCTCTGCTTTGGCAGCCTGGGTTCATGGGTTCGGATCCTGGGCGTGGATCTACACCACTCATCAGCCATGCTGGGGCAGTGACCCACATACAAAATGGAGGCAGAGTGGCACAGACGTTAGCTCAGGGCTAATCTTCTTGAAGCAAAAAGAAAAAGAGGAAGATTGGCAAAAGATGATAACTCAGGGTCAATCTTCCTCACAAAAAAAAAAAAAAAAGAAGAGAAAACAGCATCCGCCTTACCCAATTGTCTTGTGGATCAAATAAGACAATATAAAGTGCTTTGCAAAGTCTCTCAGTCAATTCTCAACAAAGGTTAGCTGCTGTTACCCATCTCCTTGGTCACACTTGGTCTGCCGTTGCTGAACTTGCTGTCTTGCATCCTTTGGATCTGCTCCTACTTGTGTTTTCTCTTGATAAGCAGCACAGATTCTCTGCCTTGGCAGAGAGCTGAGAAGCGCCCTGATTCCTCCTTGTCCCTCACCACGCTCAAGACCAGGGCTGCTCTCCCTTGCACGCCATCCCACTGCCTCTGGCTTTGAGCCCCCTCATCCTGTCTCAAGCAGAGTCCACACTGGCTCCCTGCCTGAGAGCTCACTCCCCGACACCCTCTCCCACTGCTGCCAGCCCATCTTTAACCCCACAGCCCGCACTGCTTCGCACTTGCTGAAGGAACTCCACAGGTGGCCTCCAGAACCGGGTCTAGGCCTGGCTCCTCCTCCATGCCTTCCCATCCTGCCCTGAGCGACTGTCCTGTCCCCTGGCCAGCCTTACCGCCACATGCAGAAGAAGCCTTGCACTACTCCGGGAACTCTTGGGCCTCCCACATGCCTCTTCACACTGCCCCCAGCCCTGGATGCCCCTCCTGCCCACAAGACCAGGGCTCAGGACAGCTCTGCCTGTGGCTTGGCTGGACCTTTCCTTCCAACCCTCCTGCCAGGCAGAGCAAGTGCTTCCTGGCCCTTTGTGTCCCCACTGCTCCCCTGGCTGTGAGCACTGTCTCTCTGCTGCCTGAGGCTCTCAGACTGAGGTCCATGCTGTGTCTCAGCATCCCCAAGGGCCGAGTCCAGGCCCCCCCCGTGCTCCAGGCCAGGCAGCTTGGGCTGCATCTGTTTGGTTTATTGGGGTCCCACCTACAGTCTCTCTTTTTTTTTCTTAAAGTGTTCTGCTGCCGACAAAGCGGTTCTGGAATCCGCAGTGAGTGGCCACTCGAGAGCCAGGACCGAGCCTCGCCGCTAGGGGGAGTTCAGCTCGTAGGACCGGAAGTGCAATTTAATTTCTCAAACCTGGAAACCACAGGTGAGTGTGCTGTCTCAGGCTGGGAGGAGGAGGAGAGGACCAGCCTGACTCTGGCTGAAGAAGGGGCGGCCTGGGACGAAGGTGGATGGGGCAGTCAGAGGGCACTGAAGAGCACAGCTAAGTCTGGGTGCACTTCAGACCAGGGTGTGACCTTGGTCAGGGTCGGCAGCCTCCATCAGGGCCTCACATTACCAACACTGATTAGCACGAGCCTGTAGTTCAGTGGAAAAAACAGCAATGGGTCAGCTTGACTTTTGCCCAAGCTACAGAACCCAATGCTCTTTACACACCCGATTTCCTATCCAGGCCTGGGACGGAACATCAGGCTGCTGACGCCTCCCTACAAATTCCACGGTGTTTTGTTTAAGGGGTAAGAAATGCATCCAGATCTTAGTACAGGCTTTCCTTGCTCCATCAGCCACAAAATAAATTAGACGGGTCAAACGTTGTAGATTTAATCTCACTGTGAACTGAAAACATAGTAGCTCTCCTTGCCATCGGAGAATCTGCGAGCGCTCGGTGACCCCCCGGTGAACCGGAGGGGCCGAGGCGGCCAGCAGGTGCAGCTGGAGGGACTCAATGTGACATTCACCTCGGTTCTTTGTGCCCTTCTGAGAACTGCGGGGTAGCGTTTGGAACTGAATACTCTAGAGCTTTCCGTCACCGTCTCACAATTACCTATGCGAGGCAGAAAAGAGGAGAAATTGAGAGAGAGACAAGAGGAGAGGGAGGGAGAGCGGCCGAGGGAGAAAGGGGCAGATCCTCGTGGTGCTGGGGAGGCCATGGCGGTTCCTATTAAAGGCAGACTTTGGCACAGGAGCCAAGGGGGTAGAAAGGAGCAAGAGAAACAGTGTTTGGTAGAAACAAGTTGCTCTCCACTTTCCAGCAACACAGAGAGCTGTGTGCCTGGTCCGTGGGTCTGCAGAAAAAGACTGCAGATCTGGGCTGTGGGGGGTGGCGCCGGCTCGGGGGGCAGAGACCTGGTGAGTCTGGTGGGTTCGGGGTCTGGTGCAGGGCACCTGCTGCCCTCTGCTTCTCCCAGGGTGGGTTCGCTGTGGCGATTTGGGGCCCCTAGCAGGGGGAGTGCACGTTCTGAGCTGGCCCTCCTCTGGCTTTTCCTGTGGGATAAGGCTGGGCTGGGGAGCTGAGGGATCTCTCCCCGCCCTGCACAGCCACTCACAAGTGACCCTTGGAAGGTGTCCCACCTTGGGCATGAGCATGAGCAGGGACTGGCATTTGGAAAGGCCGCCAGGGAATTTAGAGCACAGTGATGAACTGGCCTATGCAGTTTTCATTCCGGTCGGACAAGTCTCCCTCTCCACGGGAAAAGGAGACAGAGGTGAATGCAGCAGAGGCCAGAACCCCGGAGGTTCAAGGTCGGAGGTTGCATTGACTATCAGAGGCGCAGTGGGGGCTCAGGGCGTGCAGGAGTCACAGAGCTGAGAGATGGTTTGCCTACCGTAGAGGAACTTTGGGGAAGGCCTGATGCCGCCAGGTCCCTTCTACTGCTGCCGATGATCCCACCATCCACGCATCAACAGGGTCAACAGCACGCACAGTTGATGCCCAAGCATGGGCCAAGCCTGAAAGTCCACCATGGGTGGGGGATTGGACAGGTGTAGAGAGGAGAACATGGGGCAGCAGCCGGTCTTACCTGCCTGGCATCTGCAACCAGGTGAGAACCCATAAAGTCAGGCCCTGGGCCTAACCCTAGTTTGTGGTCACCAGAGAGATAAGGAATCATATTTTTAAAGGCTTTTTCGAGGAGGGCTGGGGAAACCATCTTCTAGTACAGTATAGAGCAGCCCCATTGCCGTTTGCGTGAGCCCAGAGGAGAGGAGAGGCAGAGGGCCCAGTTCTAGGCCAAAAGGAGACCCCTTGGGGACAGGGGTGGGAGCCGGTCAGAGGCTCATTCACCAAGAGCTTAGAGTGCTCCCAGGGTGTCAGACGCTGTGTGGGCTCTGCGGATGCTGAGGTCAGCAGGGCCTGCTCTGGCCTTAGAAGGGCTTACGGGCAACTAGTGGTGTTGATAACCTTGGAGCGTTTTTGGCAAACCCACTGAAGCTCTCCTTCACTGTGAACTTCCTTCCCAACCAGACGCCAGAAGGGGATGCTGGGCGGGTGGAGTGAGCTACCTGCTGCCCTGAGTCGCTCAGCACACGGCCGATCCACCTGCCACCCAACTAGGAGCCCTAGGCAGTCACCTTGTGCAGAAAGCACTGGCCTGGGAGCCAGGGGCCTGGGTTCAAGCCCCAGCACCCCCGCTAGTGTTCTGGGAAAAGCACTTCTTGAATCTGAGCCCAGTTTCCACCCCTGGACCATGGTGCAGAGCCCTTATGGGCACCAGCCCTGACATCTGAGCTAGTCTGAACTCTGCAGGCCACTGGGCCACCCCCTCAGCCCTCCCTCAAACTCCGAGGCAGCCCTGGCCATGATTGGGCCATTCTGACACCTGGGGCCAGCCCCAAACCTGGATCAGGTAGGGAGACCTGCGGCTCCTGCACTGACCTGTTCTCTGTGGTATCACACGAGCACTGAGGGGATTTATTTCCCAGTGACCTCTCCACTTTCAGACTCAAAACGGCACCGTCTGAAAACTCCTCCAACCTGGGAAGAAAGATGGCTGCCAAGGTGGGTGGGGCAGGGGCCGCTCAGAGGAGGTCTGAGTTATCTTTGTCTCTCTCTGGCCCCCACATAGTCCTTGGCAGCCGCTGGGCAGGGCAGCCCAGAGCCTCTCAGGGCGGAGAGGAAGGCTCTGTGGCTCCTGTTCACTTCCAGACTCTCCAGGATCACATATCTTCCTGGGCTGGGTCGGGGCTGGAGTGTAAGCATTGTGAAGGCAGCAACCTTGCCAGTCTTGCTCACCACTTCCCCCAGGGCCTGGCATGCAACAGGCGCTCAGTAAATGTTTGTTCACTAACAAAATGACCTGACACCCTGTTCCCTCTGATGTGATGGAGGGCTGGATGAGGTGGCGCTGGGGGTGAGTGGTCCTCGCCCCCTGCCCACACAGACAGTGAGGAAGTGGACTTCTCTCCCAGTCTAGGTGGCTGTCATTCATCAGGCAGAGCTGCACCTCAGCCTGGAGGCCCCGTGAAGCCACCACCCTTCTTTGTTGGGCTTTTCTTCCTGGCTTTGCCCACTGAAGGTCCACATCCCTTTTTCGAGGCACGGTCCTAGCCACAGGGACAGTGCCACTGTCTGAGGACCCACCCACTTCCTCTGTAGGTGGTTGATTTGAAAAGGGTCCTGGAGTTGAGTGGGTAGAGTTTCCACAATGCATTATCTTCATCCTCACCATGCCAACCCCCGCGTCTTGGTATCACTCAAGAATAGTGGAGACCATTAATTTATGAGTGCCATGGGTTTTCTGGCCACAGAAAACACCAATGTCCGGTAGAATCTGATCAGTCTCACAAGAGAAGTTTGGAAGAATTACTTTGAGGCTCAGCAGGGGAGAAGAGCTGCCCACCTGGAGGTCTCAGGAAAGATGTCAAGGATGCAACTGGAGAAGACCTTGCAGGACGGGAGGGCATCAACAGACGGAAGGAAGGACATTTCTGTGGAGGGTATAGCTTGAGAACAGGTTGTGTTCAGGGAACATCTAGTTGTTCCCTTTGGGTGCAGGGCCAGAGACGGAGAGAGAGGTGGGGATGACCATCTTGAAATTACAGTTCTCGCTCAGTGACAGGAGCAACACAGGCACAGAATGCATAATTTACCACAATACAGTGAAAGTACGGCAGGTAAGGATGGAAGGGGGTCTGGGTGCAAACTGTGGGCAGCTTCACTGCCAAGGTCAGAAGTCGGCCCCTCCTTACTCCCTTTGCCAGTGGGATTTTTGAGCCTGACATTTCTGAGCCTGATCAGCAATCCACTTTAGGAAAATTATCATAAGTGGGTATTCTATCTCTTTTGGCTAATTTGAAATTCTCTGTGGAGAGAATAGCTAAGATTCTCCACCTGGAATTCATAGATACTGGGCCTCAGTAAGGTTTTCTCTTCAACAATTACTCTTTCAACATCTTGGAATTTAGAACGTGCCGAGACGTGACCTCCATTCCCGCAGCCGGCAGTGCAGATCTGAGGTTAAGCCGGACTGAGAGAGCTCTTCCAAGGAATGCTGGAGGCCAGGGCTCGGCCATTTTTTTCTGTTAAGGGCAGATAGCGAATACTTCAAGCTTTGTGGGCCACAGAGTTTCTGCTGGAACTATCCTGCTGCAGAAGTGCAAAAACAGCCATAGATGATGTGTAATGACCGAGTGTGACTATGTTCCGATACAACTTTGTAGACAAAAACAGCCAGGATCCTGGATGTGGCCTACATGTCATAGTTTGGTGACTGCTGGTGTAGACTGCAAAGTGACTTGAGACCCAACCCCCTTTTCAGGCCGCCATGCTTCCTGGCTCTCACAGGGGGCTATCATTGGCGAGGAAAACCCGCTCTTGGTCCGACCGCCCAGATTCAAAGAATGGCGTAATGCTGGCTTTTTCTGTCGCCAGAGATGTTGTCAGACACGATTATGTCTGTCTTGACAACCACATTGTCTTGACCAAGCACACCGACTGACTGAGGGGTGAAATGTAAGGCTGAAACATGCCCAAGATGTTGGCATTAAGGGTGCATTTAAGTGGGTTCAGAGCTTCCATAACAACGCCCAGCATGCCCCTGGTCCCGCTTCTCTTCGTTTCACAAAGGGCCACTTATCAGAAATTCCTCCCATGGCCACTGTTGACGTTGCTGTCACTCTCTGCTGGTGAGTCCCTATCCCTGATATGACGAACAGTTTAAAACATGCTTAGAAATGCTGTCAGCCATCCTTTTGAGAAAAGCCTGCCGAGACCCGATTAAGCGGGGCTTGTAGCCGAAGCTGCTCGTTTCTTGATGACACATAGTAAGTGGCAGGTAATCCGCGTCTTAATCTCCTTGCTGCCCCGAGAGACTTATGGTAACCGATACCCCTGTGAATGCCACAGAGTCTGATTGAGTTACCTTGAAA